TAAACAAATGTTGATAACGAAGGAGAAAAAGGAAAGGGAGGGGAAGGAAGAAGACAGAGAGAAGGAAGAAGAAGTGAAACAGAAAAAAAAAATGAGTTTCCAGAAAAATCTCCAAAATAAGAAATTTGAAATTCAATGTTCTAAATTCAGAATGCAAATTTGCAGTGCACTCTTTTACACATGAACCCCTGCACCACGAATTATATATGCCATGCCAGATGGGTACATCATCTTATCCATTTCCTCACAAAGATTCAGGAGTAACAGCTGACTATTCCTGGCCTTCATGGCCAGCCCAGTTGTTTCCCAGGTTGTTAAATTCTTCAGGTAGTTTGACTGGATCTAGTAGAATATAAACTGTGGTTAGGAAGTAGAGGGAGAGCTAAAACTCAGACAGAGAAACAAGCATCTGCTACTCTAGTTCCTACTACAGAATTCTGAGAGCAAAGTCAGTCTCCATGAAAAATAATTAGACAGTGACAATTATTCAAATTCAAATGTAAGGTTTGGGTTAACATATTACAGAAAGCAAATGTGAAGATTTGTCACTTGAGGTGAACCTAAATTTGTTGTTATTTAAGACAGATCAAGCAGACTCCTGAATCTTGCCAAGATTTGTGCAAAAAACGATAGAGTTTACAGCCTTTAAACAAAAGGCAAGAACATGAGTGATGAAAAACATTTTAGTCAGGTTCATAAAAGGTTAGGGAGTTTTTAAAGTGCTCAAATTGAAAGGGAGATAAAACCTGTAGCGACTATTTCCAGTAGATAGGTACGGACGCTAGTCGAGGGATGGGCCCACACACTCATCTCAAAGTTTTTAATCCAGACATGTTTCTGTCTAAAGGAAAAACAGGGACAAAGACATGGGGCAGAGAATGAAGGAAGGGCCTACTGGTGGCTGTCCTACCTGATGATCCATCCTATCTGCAGACATCAAACTGTTACTACTGTCAAGAAGCGCTTTCTGACATGAACCTGATGTGGCTGTTCCTTGGGAGGTTCTGTCAGCAACTGACCAATGTAGATGTGCATGCTTGGAGCCAATTATCAGACTGAGCTCAGAAATCTGGGTGGAAGAGCTGGTGGAAGGACTGGAGGATCAGAGAGGGATTGCAAACCTGTAGGAAGAACAATATCAACTAACTGGACCACCCAGTTCACCCAGGAACTAGACTACCAACCCAGAAGTGTACAGGGAGGGATCCATGACTCCAGATACATATGTAACAGAGGACAGTCTTGTCTGACATCAATGTGAGAGGAAGTCCTTGGCACTGTGGAGGTTTGATGCACCAGCATAGGTGGGGCAGGAAAGAGTCAGTGGGGGAGCACCCTCATAGAGGCAGATGTGGGATGGGTGGCTTGTCACGTGGTAACTGGGATGTGGGATATCATTTGAGATGTAAACAAACAAAAATTAATAATTTTTTGAAAAGTGTCCAAATTCTAATTTAAGGCTACTGATTCAAGCACCAATCAGTGAGTTCCATACAGGAAGTAGTCTTTTTCTCCACATTTATCTATTCAGTGTTATGCTAGCCTTACGCCCCACTTTCACTCCACTACATTTTAAATATAACGCTATTATTATACAATTTACTGAAGTATGAAAGACCCTGGAGTTGATGACTGTCAACTTGAAAATAAAATATAGAAAGAGATATAAATGAAAAGAATAATAATTAGAAACTGGTAAACAAGAATGAGGGTGATTAAAATGTATTATAAATGACACTTGTAGGGAAAGATAAAAGGGAATCTTATATTAAGACTTATCTCTAGATCGGGGAGCTCTGAATCCCCTGGATTCTCTGTGCCAAGAAAGGTCATCTTTGATACATTCTGTCCACCTAGCCTATCTAGAGAGACTGAGGAAGGATAATGATGACTCCCTTAACTGCTGTGATTTTCTTTCTACCACCAACATTAATATTCATTGCCCAATCCTATCATAGTATCTCTATGTTGGTTTCAATAATATACCTAATTTATAAAAATGTCTTCAGGTTTATAAAGATAGTCTTATACTTAACTATTGATGGACCTATTAATTATTGGCCATTTATTGAGTATCAGTTGAATGTATGTGTAAGGTTTTCTATCTTGCAAGATACTAAAATGTTTAAAAAATGGTTTGGTTGAAGAAATTATGAAAACATGAAAATGCTCTGGAGGTTTTCACTCTAGAAATTATCAAAAGTAATAGATAATTTTCACTCATCTTCATTAGTACATGTGTAGACAAGGAACTGGATTAATGGTGACAGTTTCTATGAAGAAGATTTAAGCATTGTGCATGTCAGAGTTACAACCTAAAACAGTGTCTGAGATTAAAGTTGATAGGAGGTCAGGCAGAATATGTCTCACTATGGTATGGTTTAGTAATATTTGTATACCTCCTTAGAGTTCCAAACTTATATCGAGAAGAAAAGCGACCACTCTGGAAATCAGTCTGGCGGGTTTTCTTAGAAAATTGGACATAGTACTACACGAGGACTCAGTTATACAACTCCTGGGCATATATCCTATAGATACTCAAACATATAACTAGAACATATGCTCCACTATGTTCATAGCAGCCTTATTTATATTAGCCAGATGCTAGAAAGAATCCAGATGTCCTTCAACAGAGGAATGGATACAGAAAATATGGTACACTTACACACTGGAATACTACTCAGCTATTAAAAACAATGAATTCATGAAATTCTTAGGCAAATGGATGGAACTAGAAAATATCATCCTGAGTGAGGTAATCCAATCACAATAGAATACAAAGGTATGCACTCACTGATAAGTGGATGCCAAGTACGTGCTGACAGAATCCTAATATAGATGTTTCCTGAGAGGCTCTGCCAAAGGCTGACAGATACAGAGGCAGATTCTCCAAGCCAACCATGGGACTGAGCATGGGGTCCTCAATGGAGGAGTTAGAGAAAAGACTGATGGAGCTGAAGGGGTTTGAAACTCCATAGGAAAAACAATATCAACCAACCAGAGCTCCCAGGAACTAAACCACCAACCAAAGAGGGAGGGATCCATTGCTCCAGCAGCATATGTAGCAGAGGATGGCCTTGTAGGGCATTAATAGGAGAAAAGGCCCTTGGTCCTCTGAAGGCTAGATGCCACAGTATAGAGAAATGCCAGAGTGGTAGGTGAGAGTCAGTGACTGGGTGGTAGAGCACTCTCATGAAAGCAGGTTGAATGGGGATGAGATGGCGGATTTCCGGGAGGTGACAGGGAAAGAGGATAACATCTGAAATGTAAATAAAGAAAATATCAAAAAATTTGCAACTGTTCCAAATGACATAAAACCTATTAAAATTATTTACCTGTAATATTTCCTTCAATAGGACAGAAATAAAAAAATATTTAATTGTAAATGAATATGTAATAATATGTGTTTTCCTACTGTACAGACTGGACACATTATAAAAAAAATGGAGGGGTTTCTAGTAAGTAGATGGTTGATGAGCCGAATATGGCAATCACTTTTGTGGTATAGTCTCTAGGCAAAGGAGAGAGTCATATAGCAAGAGACCAGGGGCATGGGTGAGAACATGTATTTTCTGAGCTTTTAACTCCTTCTAAACATTCCCTAGGGTCCAATCACAAGACCTCCAAATTGATGACCATATCAAGCCTAATCAACTTCCAAAGCTTCTACCTCTTAGCAAGTAGATTAAATGTCTCCAGAATAGGGATGGAATTTCAACCCATTAGGGAACACAAGTAACTACAAACAATAGCGGTGGTAGATTAGTGAGGTAAACAAGTGTAGACACAGCTCTCACCACAGTCATGGATTTCCTTCATTCCCAGAAGTATAAATGAAGGTTCAAATGGAATGGGAATGAAAGATCAAAGTTTGATATAGGATCTTATTAGGATTTTTAATTCCTAGGATTAAAATAAATAATAAGATTAAAATTTCAGGTTTTTGTAATAACTGGTTCAGATTTCTTGACAGTTGGTCATCCAATGTTTTCAAGGAGCACAATGCATACTAAAATGCAGTTAATCTACTAAACAAATATTTATTGACCTTGTACTGTATGCTAGGCATCATTCTAGGTGCTGGGTATGTAGCCACAAACAGCATGCTAATGTCTTTATATAGGTTTAAGAAAAAGTACTTAGATATTGAAGGAGCAATAAGTTCTGTCTTAGAGTTTGTAGGCAGTGTTTATGGAGGGAAAGTCTTCTGTACCTTAACAAAACTAGAAGTTATCCAGGTTAGGAAATACTAAGCAACAGAAACACTATGTGCAGAGGGTGAAATGAAGGACAAGCAGAGTGGAACAACAAAGTAGCAATGTAGTGGGAATCGACATGATGTATTGGGAAATACAGATATATTAAATCAAGTGATCTAAATTCATATGTAAGTGTTATGTTTGCTAAGAAACAGTTCATGATTTTATTAACCTATGTGTACACATTTCGATACCTCTTAGATTCCTCTTGAGTATCCAAGTTTATGAATAAAACATATTTTACCTGGTGTTAGGCCCCTGCCTCCTCAATTATGAGGTCATGGCTGTCATACCCTCTAATGTGTCTGAATGTGTCAAAGTGGTAGTGGTGTTCTTCTGCCTTTAGTCATCACAATGATGAATTAGTCAGAGTAAGTGAGAGTATAGCAATACTGGAGCCTAAGAGAAGACTATTTTTCATCACGTATGTCAGAGTTTCTTTCTTACATGGGAATTAATTACAAATAATGTTGATGAAGTAAATCCTTATGCAAGCAGAAAATAATAAAATAATAAAAGATTCCACAGGCAGTATACACACTGTTGTCATAAATCAGAGCTAAAGGATTTTAAGATATGTGCTTGCATAGAAATAATTATACAATTTTATTGAATATGTCACACTGTGCATCTAAGTCAAAGAGATATATAATCTAGATGCTTTAGCTAGTCAGTTGTAGGCTTTGACTTTTCAAAATCTATTTTAATATGAGTTCTAAAACACTTGAATTTCCCTTCTAGCCAACCACCCACCAGAGGCAGTGAAAAAAATTAATAGGGCAAAGGCATATGTGAACAAATCAGCAGCAGTAGCTCAATACACTAGCAAACACCATTCATGAATCAGCAAGTACAGTTTGATCCAGAAGAAACTGTGAGGTTCTGCCAATTGTCCTGAGTGTGCAGAATTGACAAGGAGATTCAGGAATATTATACAAGTACTTTGGTGAGTTTTTCTCTACAAAGTCACAACTAACAATGATCAGCAAAGGCAAGGTTAACCAATACCACACCATTTTCAACTAAAACCAGCATTAGCAAAACTCAAAGAAGACCATCAAATAGTGACAAGATGAATCAATGACACAGTATTGCCCATTGGCCCAACTCTTTCCAAATATCAAGTGTCCTCTTGAACACTTTCAAAAGCAAAACACGTGCTCTTTTTACAGATAGCTTTCAGAACAAAACTGTGACTGTTTTCATTAGAACATCTTCCCACATGTCTGTTTCAACAAAATATCCTCTCATAGACAGTCTCCTGAAAAACACCACATGGCACAACTGAAGAAACCAGACATTTCTACTTTAGTCTCAAAAATCATCAGGTTGCTATGGTGGTGTACACTTCTAATTCTGCGTAAGATACAAATGAGTTGGATATATTGCCAAAAGATATCAAATAAATCATTTGCCAGTACTCTGATTTTCAAATATATAATGTTATTTACTCAATATTTTTATACGTTTTTGCTGTTACAATTCCTAGAGCAGGAATCTTAAGGAGTTCCTTAAATTAAAGAATCTTATATTGGAAAGTATTGTGGAGTCAGAGGGCAATCAGGGCTCCACAATGCAACAGACACAATCTCTTCTTAGGTTCTTGCCTGTTGTCTCTGATGCATAACTCGCTAGGCAATCTGAGTTTTCTTTCATGAAAATTTGTCATTAATCTGTTCTTTATCTGGTCTATTAAAACTTTCAGTGGATAGTAATGTAAACTTCTTTTTATGTAAGATTTTAAGATTTTCATCCAATGTGTTAGCATTTTTGCGATTAGAATCAGCACATTCATATCCATCATTATAATCATTTTGTTGATAAATACTGAAAAAATATTTTCTGAATTTTTTTATGTCAATAGAAGAGATCGTGAGTCCATAAATCCCCAAAAAAGCAGGACTATAGTCTCTGACTTGTTTGTTAAAGGAATTCACAGATGTGCAGAATTTGTTATTTTCAATAAGTACCTAGAGAAGCATCACTCTAGAGGTCACATGTGGGTTTGTTCTTCACATGACACCTGACACACCAAACTCTCAATGACTTGAATGCATTTTTCTGCTGTCAATCTGGGGATATTTTTACATCTTTGTTTTTCTTGTGGCCATATGGAGCTTGTGATTGCCCAGTCTCAAGGTTTGACAGAGCATTTCACTGTATGGTAGGAGCAGGACATGCTGTTCACCTAAGTGCTGTCAGTTTTGGCATCAACGTGTAGAGCTTCTGCCAAGGCTTACATACCATTTTCTACACTCCACTAAGGAAGTTCCTCTGCCAAGGCCACTTAAAATAGCACTTTCAGTTATGCCTAGTACTTTTTAACACTCTGGAGGCAAGCAAAAGTTTCATCATCTTTGGTTCTAATGAGTAAACCATAATAAATACTGTAGAAATCTATTGAAAATGGAAAAATCTACTGAAAACTATGTAGAAAAGAAGAGAAACACAAACTTCCTATTATCACAAACTATTGATAATTGTTTCAGCATGTCCTGTGATAGGAAGCTTTATGGATAAGAGCTGGGCTTATTTAAAAGTTTTCCTGTAAATCTCACTGTGATCAAGGTCTCAACACACATATTTGTGCATGCACAAACACACACACAAGCACACAGGAATTATATCATTATATGAATCTCTTACTTTATTACATACAACCATGAACATTTAATTAAAGTATGGACTCAGCACCATTTTTAACATTACTGACATTTCTGGAGCACCTGTTCAGTGCATATTATTTATTTATTTATTCTGAATCAGTTTTAAACACAGTAATGCTAAGTGGTTATTATCCCCATTTTACTAATGAGAAAAGAAGAATCAAATAAATTGATTTATCTTTTGTGGCCATAAATATTTCATTTTAATAAATATATTTAGTTTCAATATTGAACTAAAAACTATAGAATTAATTTTACAAAGCCATGTACTCAAAAACTCAACTAACAATTTCTTTTTACATTCTTTTTATCATCTCCCTCAACAGTGGTACAATATAGAAGTATGGCAAAACTCTTTTTAATTTGTATGCTGCATTTGGAAGGTGACCAAAAATTCTTCTAGTTTAATTCTATTATAGTGTAAGTTCAAGTTGTGTTAGAAAGAGGTTAACTCTCCTGACAGATTTCACATCTTATTTAAGTAGCAACTGTAGAGCCAGAAGCCAGTCATTCTGATTCATTGTACAAAGCAGAAGTACAAAAACACCTTGACCTTCAACTCTGTGCTGAGTAATTCTACCAACTTTTAGAATTGTTAAAGTAGTGGATGCATTTCTATCTGTGTTGGTACTTTTAAATGAATTATATGCTATTATAAGTTTATATATGGTATCTCATATTATATGAAGTATATGATACTACTTGACCCACAACATTACCTTTATTTTGTTTTTACTTAATAACTGTAGTTTTTCTACTTTTATAAATTATAATGTAAATATCTGAAATTCAGGATATCTGATATGTAAATCCCAAAGCAGTTGTAACCTACAGGTTGAGAAACACTGTTATAGATTAAGAGGTTAATTATAAAGAGCTTTTAGAGATATAATCTGAGTTTTCATAAGAACTTTAAGTCTTGGCCCAAAGCTTTAAGTGAAACTGTTCCAGAGGTGTGTGCATATCTTCTAACACACTGATATTTATTATTCAAACATTTTGAGTAGAACAGGGTCCAAATATCAAATATTTATTTTGGTGATCTTAAGAGCTAAGAGCATGAAACAATTTCATATAGGCGCTATAAAGAAAACATCTTGTGTACTGAATGGATACCTCACCTGTAAAATGAACAGCCCATGGCCTATGGCCTAGGCATGAAATAGGAGGTGGTACATCCTGGTGGTGAATGAATTCTATGATAGAGCCAGGTATGTGAGATCAGCCCTTCCCTGAAGATGTTAAGATATGGAAACATGGTACCTAACCAAAGCTAACCAGCCACATGGCAGGATGCAGGTTAAAAAAAAATGAGATATCTTAAGTATGTTTCTAGACAGATATCTACTCTCATGCCAGCAGAAGAATGGACTTGCTAAAGAAAACAGCCAAAGAGAAAGAGCTTCCTTTATCCTGTCATTATACATTACAGGCTTCCAGTAAAAGGCATGGCCCAGCTTATAGATGTATTTTACAAGATCAAAGATCTGGATTATAGGTGTGCCGTCCTGTCTCAAAGATGTAGATAGTATAACTATCCGCTTCAAATTAATAAAAAATTCCTCTCATGTCTGCCTTTTAATTTTTGATTTTAATTATTCCAGATATATTCATATATAAAAACAAGAGTAGTCAATACAGCATCTGATAAATTATACCATAGGTTTGTCTAAAGATGCCTCCCACATCACATAGGCAAACACACATGTACACATTTACACCAACACACACACACACATGCATGGAATTCAGAGAGCAATTTTTGGAAGTCAGTTAACCCCTCCCCCCACACACACACATGAGTTCTAGGGAATGAAATCAGGTTCTCAGGATTGTACAGCAAGCATTTTTATCTCCTAAGCCTTATTGCTGGCCTAAATGTATAGCACTTTTATTTGTTAATTTCGTCTTCACAAAACTGAGGCTTTTGAATTTATTTTCAGATCAAAGACATCTAATGAGAAAAGAAGTTACTTATATATGTAGAACTGCATGGTCAAAGCTAACTAATCTGTAGATACCAAAGAGATGAAATAGTCACCATTTCCCTTCTTTTAGACACCCCATGTTTATAATCATTTAAAATATATGTATGCTTCTGTGTCACATATATGTCAGAAGATGTCATAGAGGAGAGAACCTATGTCTATGCTCAGTGTTCTGACTGATGAACATCTGAAAGATTAATAGCTTTAAAATCCCTGAAGAAAATTAGCCTGATTTCACAACCAGTCTTGCACGGGGGCGGGGGGCGCTAAAGAGAGAGAGTTAGCCTGAGATGATAACCAGTCTGGACAATCAGATCCAGATGGGCTTCCAGGACAGGAAGCAAGCAGGAGACTAGAAGAACCTCTCCTGCGGCCAAGACTTGGCAGGAGTAAGCATGAGACAGAAGACATTTGCAGAGATCCACTTGGGCTGACTCAATTAGGAGCTAAGCTAGAGAATCCCCAAACACACAACAGTTCCACAGTGTCTGGACAGGGAGCTAGCCTGATATGAACACCAGCTCATCAACATGCTGCCTTGGGTGGGGCAGGGCGTGTCAGACGATGTTCGAGATGACCCTTGCCAGACACCATAACGTGCAAGAAGAGAACAGTCCCGAGACCATGCCTGAGATGACTATAGACGCTGAGAGCCACTAAGCAGAGAAAATAAGTCGTGGAAAAAATGAAGGAGAAAGAGAAACAGAAGTAAATGGGCAAAATGAAGTGAGGCAGTCCTGGAGACTCGAGGGTAATGAGTAGGTCCTGGCTTTTGCCTCCACTGGAATAATGTCTGGAACCTTGGCCCTGTAGCAATAAAGAGATGTTCATGGTCTTGGCTGGTGCCTGGCTGTCAAACTGTAGTGCTCCAGAGAGTGTGGGCCCATCACATTATGGGAGATACAGGTGAGCTGTCGTAAAGAATGTGAACATGGGAACTGGCACTAGCACTCATCTCTCTGTGGTGGAGTAGGCACACCCCTTTTTCCACTTTTGCCCTGCATCACCTGCATCACCAGGTAGGATACCTGGCCCTGGGGTCATGAGAGCATGAGCACTGATTCTGCCCTTTACCAGTCAGGAGACAAGGCCCTCTACTTTGCCTGAATAGAGTTGACCCTATTGACAATGGCACTGGTGGGCTAGCCACAAAGGCACAGGCATGAAATAGCAGGTCCTTCCACTTGTCTGTCTTGTGTGATATAGGGAAGGGAAAGAAGCCCCCCTCTTGCCACTTGAAACCTATGGTAGGCAGAAGAGCTGGTCCCAATGCGGTCAGCAGAGCAGGACACCTGGCCCTTCACCTTACCTGGGAAGCACGGCAGAGCTGACCATTTGTTGCAGTGCTTGTGGGTGAGTTAGCCCTGAGGGAATGAGAATAAGAGTGCCAACATGCAGATCTTCTCTGATAACTATCACTCTCAGGCCCAGAACCAGGGATTTGAATTAGCCCACCTCAACATCTACCCAATCAATGAACTGATGGAGTGAGCTAAGGAGCCCATTTTATAGATAAAAACTGCAGAATCTCCACAGCATAGGACAGCAACAGTATATCCAAGAGGAGTCCCAATGAGGTTCCTGTATTGATAGAGTAGCAGAAGCCAGAACCAGACCAATGAGTCACTGCAATGAACACTTGTAAGCAAAGAAGTGTAGACAAAAGATAACATCATGGATATACTGTGACACACTACA